TTGTATGTTTGCAATGTGTGTTTTAGATAAATAGGATTGGGTATTTAAATTAGCATATTTGTGAATTTAATAGCGTTAAGATTACCATCAAATGAAAATCTCAAAATTCAAAAAAAAAAAAAAAGCTATAAGCACCAGACATGGTGGCTCATACCTGCAATGCTAGCACTCTGGGAGGCCAAGGAAGGTGGATTGCCTGAGCTCATGGGTTCAAGACCAGCCTGAGCAAGAGCGAGACCCCTGTCTCTATAAACAGCCAGGCATTGTCACAAGCACCTGTAGTCCCAGCTATGAGGGAGGCTGAGGCAAGAGGATCCCTTGAGCCCGAGTTTGAGGTTGCTGAAAGCTATGATACCACAGCACTCTAGGCCCAGTGTCAGCTGAGCCTGCTCCTTCCCAGAGCCTTGGGCCTCACTCTAGCTCTCCCCCTCATCAGTCTGCAGCGGCAGGTTCACCGGCTTTGTGAGGAAAACAGAGACAAGTGGGATGTGGTTTACAGTCCAGGAGGACAGCGACATGTGCCAGCCACCAGTCACGCTCAGCACAAGGGGACTGTGCTGGTGTGGTCAGCAGTAAAATCAAACTGTGGATATTCAGGAAGGAAGTATGGGCTTCTGGCTGGAGGCCTCACTGATTTTCATGCAATAGGAATTTGAGTTAGAATTTGAAGGAGACACGAGATCAGGACATGCCAAGACCATTGTGTAGACAGATTTGCAGACAAATTTCACAGCCTAATCAAGGCCCAGACCACAGTACACACTCCAGCCATGCAGGGAACCTGACTGGGTGGTGGGCGTGCTGAGCAGGACATCAAGCCAGCACGGCATATCGGAGCCCCGGCCCAGGACGCTATGAGAGTTGGTGACCATAAGTGACCACATGACTGAATTGTCCTGGTACCTCCCACTTTCAAAGAGTAGAGAACAAACATCCTGATGAAAGTTCCTAAGGAGGTGATAACATCTCCTGCAAAGGCCAGAGTGGGGATTTATCAGGGGCATTTGACCTCCCGCACTTATGGCTGAAGCTGTGCATTTAGGCCTTATGGTCCACAATTGGGGGTCAGCAAACCGGATGACTCACCAGGTACGTAGAGCCCCAGGGTCTGTGCCAGCTAGCAGGAAAGTAACTGTGTCTCCGAGACGAGACTCAGGGTAACAGGAGGAATACAGTCGTCATCCACACTACTGTTGTTTCTCGAGAGCATGTGCCCAAGGTAAGGGGCCTGTGGGAACGGAGCCCACTGAGTGGGGGGCTGGATGTGGAGGTCGCAGGGGAGGCACAGCCGGGAGCTGATAGGAAGCGTCAGCGAGAATGCAGAGAGGGAGGACAGGGGGTTGAGGAGGAGAGTAAAGCAGACAGGGCAGGTCACACTGGATAGTGGACAAGAGACTTCAACACAACGCTTGGTCCAGGATGATCAGGGGGACAATGGCACCATCATTCCGTCAGTAGGCGTGTGCCAGGGAATCGGTGCTGCTGATGACCTAGGAACACTTCGTACATTGCTGTGGCCATGTTTTAGGGATCTTCTGGGTTGCATGGAATTCCCCTGAGCAGCCCCAGACCCACCCCACCCCCCTGCACAATGCCTGATATGAAGGAATTCTCAGTAGATGTTTTGGACTCTAACTGTTGAGCTGAACAGCCTGCACTTGAGCCTAGTGTGCTTGGGCAGGGCCCAGGCGCGAGGGGCAGGGCATAAAGCAGGTGCCCTGTGCTGTGTCCCAACTAAGCAGCTCTCAAGACCAGAAGGGGAGAAGCCCAAGAAGAAAAGCGAGGCAGGTGTTTGCAAAGAGGACGTGGAAACGCAGGTCCTGGAGATTTGAAAAGAAAGGTCTTCAAGAACAAGGTCTGGGAAATAACTTTTCAAATAGGAGATCAAAGCACTGGTTATTAGGAAAAGATGGACTAATTTAATCAAGGTGAAAAACTTTTTCCTTCAAAAGTCATCATTAGAGTGACAAGGCAGCCACTTGTTTGGGAGGACACAGGCAGCATGGAACTGACATGGGGCCTGACACAGGCTGTGAGAAGTCGCTACAGACAAGGAAGGAAATGGGGGCAGCACACAAGAGAGACAGACGGGGTCTGAAAAGCCACTGGGAAAGGACTTCCAGGTGTTCAAGGTGCCAGAAAGCCTCTCAGCTGACCAATCATGGGAATTAAAACGACACACCTCTGGGTGTGGCTAAGATTAATAGAACTGACTGTGAAAAACTTGGAGAAAATTTAGAGCTGTAGAAATTGATGTCCCACTGGTGGGAGTATAGTTGAGGACGACACCACACTTGGGAGAGTGAATGGCGGTGTCCACTAACATGGAAGGCAGCACGCTCTGTCCCTCAGGGAGTGGCAGCGTCCACTAACATGGAAGGCAGCGCGCTGTGTCCCTCAGGGACCATCAGTGTCCACTAATGTGGAAGGCAGGGGGCTCTGTCCCTCAGGGAGTGGCAGCGTCCACTAACATGGAAGGCAGCGTGCTCTGTCCCTCAGGGACCAGCAGTGTCCACTAACGTGGAAGGCAGCACGCTCTGTCCCTCAGGGACCAGCAGTGTCCACTAACATGGAAGGCAGCGCGCTCTGTCCCTCAGGGACCAGCAGTGTCCACTAACGTGAATGTAGTGCACTCTGTCCATCAGTCATTCTGCTCTGAGCCACCTCCCAAGGAACGTCCCACACTGAAGGCACAGGCAGGTGTGCTCCTGGGGCACTGCTCATGCTCTCTCATCTGGAAATACCCAAGAGCTGCCAGCAGCAGAAATGACAAACTGGGTGTTGTGTGGAGCCCTGTATGAGCAATAAAAGTCAGCAAGCTGTGCCCACTGGCAGGCACACAGATGAATCTCACAAATATAACACACAGAGAAATAAGTTGGTCACAGCAAGTATGTGCTGCATGTTCCCATTAAAGACAGAACTAAGTATTCAGGGATGCATACTAGTGCTGAAGGAATGAGGAAAAGCAAGCAATTAACATAAAAATCCTGGCACTGGCTGCCTTTGGGGCAGGGAGGAAGGCTCAGCTCCCTGCTTGGAGGCTGGCAGTGTTTGATTTCTTGTCCTGGGATGTGATTACATGGATAACAGTTCGTCAGACTGTACGTCTATGTGGTATGCACATTTGTATGCATACTTTACTTTAGAGTAACAAAAGCTTCTTAAGGCAAAAATAAAAAATTACAAATATTTCAGTCTGAGGTTTAAGTGGATAAGGGCAAAGGAAAGACTCCTGCCTTTGTGGGTCACTATTAACCTTCAAGAGAGAAATTTCAGTAAGACAGTGAGGACCGAAGCCACACTTCAAGGAATTGGGGGGGAAAGTAGACTTTAAGTAAATGGAGGCCAATAGTAAAGACTTGCAAAGTTTTTTGATAAAATGGAGGGAAATACAAGAAGACAATTCGGCAGTATAGGACGTTTAAGCTTTTATTTTTAAGCTGTGAGAGACTTCATTATAAAGACAATATGAGGAGACTGAAAAATGCATATGGTAGACAAGATAACTGATGATGAAGCCCAGGGTTCTCAGGGACTGGGGTGGGACCCACTGTCACTCAGAGGGGGCTAACCTCCGTTGTCATGATGGGCTCCAAAAGATGGATGCAGGGGCCCAGAGAGGACACTGGGAGTGAGAGGGCCCCGTCCGCTCTGTGACACAGGTGAGAGGAGCTAAAGTGCCTTGTGGACCCTGGAAAGGTGGACGTGGCCTCAGCAGACCCTGGGTCCAGTTGATGTTGGGACCTATCATTTTTTTTTTTTTGAGACAGAGTCTCACTTTGTTACCCTGCTTAGAGTGCTGTGGCATCACAGCTCACAGCAACCTCAAACACTTGGGCTCAAGCAATCCTCTTGCCTCAGCCTTCTATGTAGCTGGGA